TCCCTAGAGCAGTCACAGTCACAGAGACGGAAAGTAGAATGGTGGTTGCTAGGGCCTGGAGAAAGGGGAAGACGGGGGATTAGTTGTTAATGGGAGGGATCAGCAGTTGGTGTAATGGCCATGTCGCTGCACTTGGACTCCCATATAGTCGACCGCGGTTCGAGCCCCGGACCCGGTGGCTTAAACTCACACCGGGTGCGTGTGCGTGCGTGCCCAAGATCCCGAGAGGAGAATGGAGGAGAAGGGATTGCGGTGTGGCCGTCCCCCCTGGGGGGTGATTTCTCACTTTCTGTCTCTCTGTCTCTCTCTGTCTTTCCGGTGAGCTCATGCGCCCTATAGCAGAAACCTCTCAAAGAAAAAGTACTTAATGGGGACAGAGTTTCACAGGGTGATAAAGATCCTTGACATGAATGGTAGTGATGACTGTCTGGCAATGTGAAAGTATGTAATGTTACCACACTGTACTCTTAAAATGGGTAAGATGGGGGCCAGCAAGTGACGTGGTGGTTAAGGTGCTGGACTCCCATATGGCTGACCGTGGTTCAAGTCCCAGATGTGCCTTCTCACTTTCTTTCTCTGTCTTGACTTTTTCTGGTCAAATGGAAGAATAATTACTAATAAATTAAATAAAATTTTTTTTTTGGGGGGGGAGAGGTTTTTACTATAGGGCACGTGCGCTCACCAGAAAGACAGAGACAGAGAGACAGAAAGTGAGAAATCACCCTCGGGGGGATGGCCACACCACAATCCCTTCTCCTCTCGGATCTTGCGCACGCACGCACACGCACCCGGCTTGAGTTTAAGTCAACGGGTCTGGGACTTGAACTGCAGTTGACTACATGGGAGTCCCGCGACACAGCTGCTGGTCAACTGCTGGTCCCTAAATAATGATTTCATTGGACTTTATTTCTTTATTTATTTGTTCAATTTGACCAGAGAAGGACAGAGTGAGAGAGAGACTGAGAGGGAAAGTGAGAAAGCCAGCTGCTGGGTCTAGGACTTGAACTGCAGTCGGCCATGTGGGAGTCCGGCACTCTTAATCACCACATCACCTGCCAGCTCCTAAATTAAATTATTCTTATTCCTTCTCTCTCTCTGGTCAAAATTAAAAATAAATAAATAGTTAAATCATTCTTTTTATATAAAAAAGGAGAGGGCCAGCAGGCGGTGTGGTGGTTAAAGGCTGCCGAACACCCACATGGCTGACTACGGCTCCTGGACCTAGCGATTTGCTTCCTCACTTTCCTTCTTTCTCTGCCTGCCCACCCCCCTCATTCTTTCTCTCTCTGGTCAAAATTAAAAATAAATAAATAAGTAGTTAAATAATTATTTAAAAAAAACGGTGGGCCAGCAGGTGGCATGGTGGTTAAGGATGGCAGATTCAAAACATGGCTGGGAACCAGCAGTTAGCGTAATGGCTATGTCGCTGGACTCCCACGTAGTCGACCGCGGTTCGCATCCTGGACCCGGT